CCCCAAAACCCCAAAACCCCAAAACCCCAAAACCCCAAATAGCCCAAATTCAGTTGAAATTCAACAATCTTAATTCTTAAAGATCATGAACCAAAAGAAAGAAACTGAAGTAAAATATAGAACAAAGAAACAAAAGAAGAATAAGAGGAAAGCAGACAAGAAGAAACAGAAGAGGTTGAGTCAGGCCGCAGAGGGTCTGAATGGAGGTTTGGAAGAGGGATTGGAAGGGAAGAACAAGGAGAGGTGTTCAGAGAGGTTTCAGATGAGAGAAAGATTGGAAATTGGGGTTCCAAAGAGTAGGAATGGGAGAGTGAAGGTGGCTGGGACTGATGAGAGTTCTATGAATGGTGTTGAGAGTTCTAATGGGGATGGGTATGTAAGCTCAATAGGTAAATTTTTCAGTCATAATTTAGAAGAAGAAAAAAATAACTCTGAAAATATACACAAAAACACTGCCGACTTCGAATCCTACATCCAATCAGCAATGGGTATCCCTGTAAATCACTCAGGTATCAAGGTCACTCCTGTCTGAACCCAATCTTTAAGCACCCTTAACCCAAGGCAGATTGCCAAACTCGTCCACAGATTTTCCAATAATTAGCCAAGTGATCTTCCCACAAATCTCAGAACAAACTTCAGTTCTAAAGAAAAGGGAAGTTCTGTATGCAACCAAAACATCTGAAGAAGACATGGTATGCCACTAGTAGATTTATGATTTAGGAAGTAGAGGAAGCTTACCAAGAAGTCCAAGAAAATATGGAGAACCATCGGATCAGTTATATAAAAAGAATGGAGTTCGAGCAAGTATATAAGGAAATTTCACATAAAGAACTCTCAAAGTTGAACGAAATAATTAAGCAGCTTGATTTCAAAATCCGAATCCAAAAAGAGAAGTATCTAGGAGCTGTACAGAGAAACAAGAAGAAAACTGCAGAAGCAGGTGCAGTGCTAGACCAAAAAGCCCTGATCTCAGCCCAGGTCCAACGGAAGATACAGCACAAATAAATCAATGGAGCAGCAGTTTCAAGAATTCCAAGAGAAAATGAGGCAAAGGAAGGAAGACCTCTATGAAAAGTTACTGAATTACCAGAAAGCAGTAAAGATGTTCAATGAAAAGATTCATAATATCGAAGCTGAAGCTAAGGAATACCGGAACAAATATAATGCTAAAATTTTGACTATCCAAAAATGTGAGAAATCAGTTCATGATGCTCTAAAGGAGAAAGAAAGTATTAAAGAGCTAAGTCATGAATCATACAAAAAGAAAACTTCTGAATTATTGAGTGAGATTAATATGGTGAAGCAAGAGATTTTCAAAATAGAAGGTGATGCCCAAATTCTACAGGAGGAGATCGGGAAACTTGAAGAGCAGAAGAATGAAATTGATGCTGAACAACTACTCAAGGAATCTAAAGTTCTAGAAGTCTCAGAATTATTTGACAGCGTAATCTCTAAATAAGATAAAATTACAAGAATTAGGGGAGAAATTCAGATATCTATACAAAAAATTGGATAACTCTAGAGAAATTTTAGAGAGACTGTCTCTTCCTAAAGATCCTTATCAAATATGTCTTTATCCCAATGAAGCTAAAAGATTGGGGTATTATGAAGCTGTCTTACATGCTGAAAGAGGTCAGATTGACCCCAGACTTTGGAATGAATTGAATGACAAAATGAGAGAAGCTAGAGAGTGGGAATGGAAATACTTAAGCTTAGAGACTCTGTACAAGGCATCATGAGAGAACTTCACGAATTATTCTAGGTTAGCTCCATATCTAGCCTTTTTCAGATTTGTATTTTGCCTACTGATTATAGTATCAATAGGATCATTAATCTAGTTACAATAATGTTTCTTACTCTAGGGGTTTTGGGGTTTTGGGGTTTTGGGGTTTTGGGG